GGATACTAGAGAAGGCCCACAGTTCGAGGTACTCCATTCATCCGAGTGCCACGAGGATGTATCGTGACTTGAGGCAGCAGTACTGGTGCGGGGGATGAAGAAGGACATAATGAAGTATGTGACTAAGTGTTTGAATTGCCAGCAGGTCAAGTATGAGCATCAGAGGCCAGGTGGCCTACTTCAGCAGATGCCCATCCCAGAGTGGAAGTGGGAACGCATCACCAAGGACTTCATAGTTGGGCTACCGCGGACTTTGCGGAAGGTTGATTCGGTGTGGGTCATTGTGGATAGATTGACCAAGTCGGCCCATTTCATTCCAGTGGCGACTACTTATACAGCGGAGAGGTATGCTCAGATCTATATTAGGGAGATAGTCCGGTTGCATGGTGTGCCGGTGTCCATCATATCAGACAGAGGCCCTCAGTTTACTTCCCATTCTGGAGAGCCGTGCAGAGTGAGTTGGGGACTCGTGTAGAGCTTAGCACAGCATTCCATCCTCAGACCGACGGACAGTCGGAGCGGACGGTGCAGATTTTGGAGGATATGCTTGGAGCATGCGCGATTGATTTTGGAGGGCAGTGGGATCAGTTCTTGCCCTTAGCGGAGTTTGCATACAATAACAGCTACCAGTCCAGCATAGAGATGGCCCCGTACGAGGCTTTATATGGTAGGCGCTGTCGTTCTCCTATCGGGTGGTCCGAGCCTGGTGAGGCTAAGATACTTGGCACAGACTTAGTACAGGATGCCTTGGATAAGGTAAAGTTGATTCAGGAGAGGCTTCGCACAGCTCAGTCCAAACAAAAGAGCTACGCGGATCAGAAGGCACGGGATGTAGCATTTATGGTAGGCGAGAAGGTTCTCTTGAAAGTCTCGCCCATGAAGGGCATTATGAGGTTCGGGAAGAAGGGCAAGTTGAGCCCAAGGTTTATTGGCCCCTTTGAGGTGTTGAGCAGAGTTGGGGAGGTGGCTTATGAGCTTGCCTTGCCCCCTAGTTTATCAGGAGTTCACCCAGTCTTTCATGTTTCGATGCTTCGGAAGTATCATGCCGACCTATCCCACGTGTTGGACTTCAGCACCGTTCATCTAGATGAGAGCTTAGGCTATGAGGAGGAGCCAGTTCCTATTATTGATAGACAGGATCGCCAGCTGAGGTCCAAGAAGATTTCTGCTGTAAAAGTCCAGTGGAGGGGCCAACCGGTCGAGGAGGCGACCTGGGAGTCCGAGGAGGACATGCGCAGCAGATATCCCCACTTATTCAGCAGTCCAGGTACTTTTCTATGTCCGTTCGAGGACGAACGTTTGTTTAAGAGGTGGAGAATGTAACGACCCAGCCGGTCGTTTCGCCTTTTTGAACCCCGTTCCCCTAAATAAAGCCTCCCGTACTTGCTTTAACTAATTTACGACTTGCGGGGGCGATTGGTTCGGGGATTGGAAGAGTTTTGAGTAAAAATATGCCCATTTGCTTCTTTAAGATTTCTTAAAAGACCAAGTTTGACTTCCGTCAACATTTTGGGAAAACGGACCCGGATTCGCGATTTGGCAATTTCTGAGGGTCCGTGGGAAAATATGGGACTTGGGCGTATGCCCGGAATCGAATTCCGAGGTCCCTAGCCCGAGTAATGAATTTTTATCTAAAATTGTTTAATTGAAGCTTTAAGGAATTAAAGAAACTAAGTAATCATTGACTCCATAGGTATCGAGCTCGGATTTTGGCTCCGAAGCTTGGTACAGGTCCGTAAGGTCATTTAAGACTTGCCCGTAAAATTTGGTGTCAATCCGAGTAGTTTAAGGGCGTTTTGACCCGTTGGAGGAGAATTTAGAACTTAAGGATTCAATAGTTTGATTCATTTGGTTTTAGGGGATGATTCTAAGATTTAGCGTTGTTCTGGGAGTTCCGAGGGTTCGAGTAGGTCCGCCTCGTGATTTCAGACTTGTCGCTATGTTCGGGTGGGGCTCGGGAGCCCCGAGCGTCAAACGAGCGAGGCTCAAGTGAAGTTAGAACTTGGAAAAGGAATGAAGTTTGCTGCTTCTGTCATAACCGCATCTGCGGTTCATGGGCCGCAGAAGCGGGACGGCAGATGCAATCAGGACACCGCAGAAGCGGCCAAGGCAGCCCAGGGGAAAAATTGCAGAAGCGGTCTTGGAGCCGCAGAAGCGGTTCCGCATAGGCGGCACTTCGACCGTAGAAGCGGTCTAGCCATCTTGGGCCTGAACCGCAGAAGCGGCCCATTTTCGCAGAAGCGGACTCCGCAGAAGCGGAAAGCCCACCGCAGAAGCGGAAACAGCTGGGCAGAGGGGTTCATTTAATTCGAACCCAAAGCCATTTTTATCATTTCTCACTCTACATTTAGGCGATTTGAGTGCTTCCAAGAGGGGGTTTCCACATAGCTTGGTAAGGTAAGTAATTTCCCTTCATCCTTAGCTTAAATACATGCGTATTAGGTAGATTAAACACAAAAAATTAAGCAAAAATCAAGGGTTAGAGCTAGACCTAGGGTTTTAATAAAACTAAGATTTAATCATGTAATTCGCCATGTAATGAACTAGAAATCATATATTTGTGATCCTTAGGTGATAGAGAGCAACTTCCTTCGAAAAATCTCGGAATCCGCGCACGTGGGCCTGGGGTCGGAATTTAGGAAACTTGTGGGAAAGGTTGGAAAATCACTTAAATAGTTAGAATTCAACCTTGTAAGCCTTTATTGACTAGTTCTTACTTTATTTAATTAGTTTGTGCTCGTTCGGCTACGAATTGAGGGTTTGGGCTTGTTCTTGATATTAGAAGTGCGCTTCGGAGCGAGGTGAGTCTCCTTTCTAACCTTGTAAGAGGGAATTGTCCCCATAGGATTATAAATGAGTAATTGTTGCTAAATGCGGGGGCTACGTACGTACTAGGTGACGAGAGTCCGTGCGTAGCTACTATAATGTTAATTGTTCGGGTAGTNAACTGCTCAACATTATCTTCAGTTTTATTGTCTTTACTTTATTGTTCATAGATTTTTGTTCTTAGCTTACCTCAAGGTCCCTGGGATAACCGAGCTCGAGGCCCCTATTGCTCCAGCAACACTGATTTGGTTCACCTTTTCTTCTTACTTAAGCTTAAACGTACTTCTATAATCACTAGTATTAGAATACATCACGTATCTTTAAAACTACAATTATCTTTAATTATTACTCACATTTTTCGAGGTAAACATGGTTTTTCAACTTATAAGCATTTTTGTAGTTTCTTTTATTTTGGTTAGCTCAAGGGGAAGTTTTGCATATTTGTGAAGATAAATTCTCGTCACTCAGCTCCCACAGCGAAGTCAAATGATTCAATAGTTTCCCTCTCTTCCTGAACTTCGGTCTTCGAACGAAGACCTTTCTCAAACTTAGTTTCTCTACCTTCTAATTTCGGGTTATATAGATCCACCGGTCATAGTAATTCTTATCCGCATACAAAGAGACTACACAACTTGACAAGATAAGTTATTTTGTAAATTTAAGAGAGTCTATATCTCAGGGGATGTAGCTCAGATGGTAGAGCGCTCGCTTAGCATGCGAGAGGTACGGGGATTGATACCCCGCATCTCCATTTTGAATTCCTTTATTTTTCTTTTTAGAGCAAATGCCGCGTGCGACAGGTGCTGAACCTTTGCATATAAAAAATGTTGCAACACAGATATGTACAGTTTACCTTTACATTAGGAATTGGCGTATTGAAACATGAAGATTACTTGTTTTCGTTGTTTTGCGTAAATATCATGAATACAAGTATTGTTGTTGAGTGAATGAATGTTTTCGATTTTTGGCAGAGTCCTAATGGAGAAGCTGGGAATAATGGCATTGCTAGTGGAGGGTAAAAAGGTGGAAGAAGAAAAGGTATGATTCATCAAATTAGAAGTTGAAGAATTCAAACCAATACTAGTATTATTGCGACTAAGCATTAAAGGCAGCTGTTCATACAAAGGCATCTTGTTATTAAAGCCGGTGTTTGAAGAAAGGGAAGTAGTAGTAATAGCGGAGGAATTCAAACTAAGAAGTTCACGAAATAGAAGCATGTTCAAAGAATTATTGCTTTTCTGAGTCGCAGCAACTGTAATGTTAGGACCAAAAAATCAGGTGTCATGCGGAAACTAGCAACGCAAACCTTGAACAACGATAAATTAGACAATAAAAGAGAAATATACCAAAAAAGACACAAACATATAATGTGGTTCGGTCAACTGACCTACATCCATGATGGAGATGAGCAATCCACTATATAAACAAAATCGTAAGCACAAGCAGCTTCTTCTGCGGTATCAAAAGTGCCCAGCGAACTCCTTTCTTTAGACTGAGGGTCTCTTATCTCCGCTGCATACCGGCCCCAACGGACTCCAAGAAGAAAAAAGTAGACTGCAATAATTAACCTATACATCCAGATTATGTTCTCTCATCTCGTTTATTCAACAAACCTTCAATCCAAAAGGTATAGCATCTCTTCTTTTATTTATTTTTTTGGTAAATAGGTGTCATAACATCTTATACCACAGAAATCAGAAGGCACTTGCTTAGGACCTTAACGCCTTTGCTAATTTGTTTCCTCCTGAAAGCTCTCATAAGCTAGAGTCTTGATTGCTCGGTATGATCAACTATTGTGCTTAAACCTCAAGACATGCTAAAATATTGAAATTGTAGTTTTGCCAAAGAAATGTGGCCCCTTCCTAAGAAGCTCAGGCATGGTTTCAACCACATCGGTGTTGGCAAAGAAAGATGAATAATCAGAGGAACAACCTAGGGTCCTTAACTGATGGTACATTTATCCAGGCATCAATAACCCGTATACATCCCGTAGTGAAACAATATATTAGAGCAACAGAAACGGGTGAGAAGAAGCATTAAATATTAAGAGGTACAAGTTTATCACCTCCACTTTCTGAATAATGAATTGACAATGTAAGTGTAAACTCAGCAAATACTTTAAGTAATATTTACCCAAACAGAACTGCCAAGTGCGATTCGAGGTATATCCAGAATCACCAATAATGATCATTTTAGCCTACGATTATCCAACTAATAGCTAGCTGAGAAATTAGTTGTTCAAGCTGAATCTTATTGTAAAGAGAGGCAAGAGTACATTTCATAGGTTCAGAAACGCCAAGGATCAAAATTGACTTCAAGTTCTCATTACCGCTTCCAGAAAACGTGCCTTTTGACCCATCATACGGCAAAACAAAAGAAAAAGCTAAACTTTATGCAGAAGATCAAATACATCATAACGGAGTCAGAAGCAACTAGAACCTAGGGAATCTATTTTGATGTCTCAACAGGACAAGTATTCATTGGGAACCACTTGGAACTTCTACTCAGTAGCTTCCACGCGTTTTGCAGCATCAGCTTCTTTCAGCCTTTCCAAAGCAGAAATGCGTCCATTCAGAGATTCATAAACATCATTCATCTGGATTTTAGAAAAGAGTGAATATCATGTAGACAAAAGAGATTTAGTCCAGCTGGGGCAACATATTTGATGTTCAGATCAAGGAAAAGATGGTTGAAATAAATTGCTCTTTTAGACCGTAATTGATTTATGACCAAGTTCCATCTTGGCCTGTCAAAGTAGCATGCTAGCATTGTATCTTCTCAATATCTCACACCATTTTCAAAAGAGTTTCATGGCTCCAGTTATCGTGTTGCAGCAATACATAAGTTTTACATAAGGCTCACCAAAGGAATATGAGAAAAAGAAAACTCTTATACTGGAAAACAAGGATTCACAGTCACTTTTGCAACAACATTATATAGCCCAAGCAGGCATGCTAAATTATGATATCATAGGTACAAACATGATGCTGAAAAGAACTCATCTTTCTTCTATTAAATGTTCAAGAAAACAAAAGAGTGCTGTACAAATCATCCAGTACAAAATTGCAGGATCTAAGGGTCAAGCTACATTGTACCACAACAAAGACTTACTCACACGCGTTGTTTACACCAAATCATTGAATGCAAGACATTTATCTAATTCCATTGTATAATGATTTAATACTTTACTTAACCAAGGCTACGTAATGTGTCTCCTCAATCTAATTTGCATCTCTTAAGATTAAATTGCTTAGTCTGGTGAAAACATTAGGTGTGGATTCGCCTCTTTTACCATCAATTCTGCACTTATTTTGGACGTTAAACCCCCACAATGCTCATGACCACTGAAATGATCCTTATAAGACTACTAGCCTGTTTGGCCAAGCTTTTTTTTGGGCCAAAAGTGCTTTTGGCCAAAAATTGAGGTGTTTGGCCAAGCTTTTGGAAGGAAAAAAAGTGTTTTTGAGGAGAAGCAGCAGCAGTTTTGGAGAAGCAGAAAAAAGTAGCTTCTCTCCAAGCACTTTTCTGAGAAGCACTTTTGAGAAAAATACACTTAGAAGCAGTTTTCAAAAGCTTGGCCAAACACTAATTACTGCTCAAAAGTGCTTTTCAAATTAATTGGCCAAACACAAACTAATTCTCACCAAAAACACTTTTTTAAAAAGTACTTTTGAGAAAAGCACTTCTCAAAATAAGCTGATTTTAGAAGCTTGGCCAAACGGGCTATACTAATGTTAGAAATAGAGAAGAAGAATAAAACTGTGCTAAGAAGGTAAGAACTGGTTTTTAACTTTGGGGAAAGGGAAGTGAAATTGAGAAAACAAGCACAAAACTTTGAAAATAAGTTACAAATTATTCTGATTGCAGTCCAACATCAGTGCTTCTAAAAGAGAATAACAACAACCCGACCCAGTAAAATCCCACAAGTGGGGTATGGGGAGGGTAGTGTGTACGCAGACCTTACCCCTACCCCGATAGAGTAGAGAAGCTGTTTCCGATAGATCCTCGGGTCAAGATGATTCTAAAAGAGAATAGTGAAAGCAATTCAATTAGTGGTCACATTTGTAACATAATTAAGGCCAAATACATAGACAGCCCCCTAAAGTTGGCACATAATTTCATTTTGACACCTCAATGAGTCTGTTTCCTATTAGACACCTAACGCATGTCCAAGATGTGCCTATTGAACACCACATTAACAACCAGTCAAAAAACTAAAATGCGTTTCATTCACACAGGGATGATGTGGCAAAGTTACGAACGAAACAAGGACATGCGACATTTACATAATTATTTTAAAAAGAGGCTTGAGAAGAAAAAGAAGGAAAAAGAAAATCTATTTCAACATAAATTCCCCCGCTGTTCCTTCGTCTTCTTAGCCAGTTCCCTCTTCCGTTTCCACACCACTACTCCACCATACAACTCCCGCTATAGTCACCGTCAACGCCATCTTCTCCACCTAAAACCACCGTCTTCTTAAGCCAAAAAGATGAGATCTCTTTTCACATAAATTTCCCCGTTGTTGCATCATCTTTTCCACCCACCCCACCACCCGGTCCCATCCTCTTCGCAGTTCCCCTGTTTCATCGTCTTCGCAGCCCAAGAATCAACTTCATTCCAACAACAGCCAAATAAAGATCTATAGCAGATAATAAATTGGGTGACGACAATGGTGTTGTTCTCCAGTAGTTTGCCCATTTGCCCATTGGGATAGCTCGAAGCCTTCTTAAGAGGGTATTTCTTGATTAGTATTTCTGTACAAGAACCAACTCTCTGTGTTAATTTTCGTTGGTGGGTTATTGGTAAAGCGACTGCTACAAATGTCCTGTAAATTAAAAAGAACCAACCTTCCAGTGGTTTGCCATGTCACCTTTTTGTGGATATTTAGAAGTAGTATTTAGTAGCTGCAACTTGTGGAAATAATTAAAAAGTGAAGCTTCTTAATTTCTTGGGCACACAAAGTGAGGAGAATCTGGTGATAGGGAGTAACCAAAGAGAAATTGGGGACCTCAAATTTCCTTTCCTTATGCTTCTATGTTGTAGATTTTGTTGGAAGCATTAAAAAGGTAGAATTTATAGCTACACAAAAACGAAGAGGAAAGGGGAGGGTGGAGGGTGGTGGTGGCAGAAAAAGAGGAGAAGGGAGGGGAATGGTAGAGGCGGTGGCAGGAAGAGAGAAGGAAGAAGAAGAAATGTTCTAAAAGAAAAGGAAACAATAAAATTTGGGATCAATTCACACGCCTACGAGAGTAGAGAAAAACTTTATTCTCCATGTCTGATTATCGTGTTTAATAGACACATTAACTGAGGTTGGAGTGCTAATGCATAAGAACCTCATTGAAGTGTCTAAATGAAAAATGGTGCCAACTTTAGGGGGTTATCTATGTATTTGGCCGAAAAAATAAATACGTAAATAAATGTCACATTTTTCCTGTCCCCGTTCTCGTCATTCTTTCTTCTTAAGTTCTCATTACCATGAGCTAAATTTGCATTTCCACCACTCTTCACAATATTGAGTTAATCTCCTGTTTGTTATTGTTAGGATCCTAACTAAAATCTGTTGTAACCATGCTACTGATCCATCCATAACGACTTACTTAATTTCCTGTTTATTATTGTTACTTTGTTAGATCCTAACTAAGATCTGTTGTAACCATGCTAATAAACCATCCAAGAATAAGTCTCTTCACACAGCACCAACTTTGGTACTTGCCTCGAAGCACCACCATCACCAACCTTCAGTAAACCAACTTAGTGTCATAGTAACTTGAACTGTCAAACGAAGCCACCAGTATCAAAATAGATCATCATTTTAAGAAAAATCTATATTTAAAGATGTATAACATAGCAAAAAATAATCTTGCTGTACCATCATGGTGATTGATTTTGCTGAAGTATGACATTCAGACTTAGAAATGAAAACTGCATTTTGCAGCAAGTTATAGATAATTTGCTTACGTTGCCACTGAAAAGGGCACTCATTCACCAATTACATGTAGATCCCTCTAGCTCAAATTTGAACAGCAACTTCCATCCAGGAACAATATGCTCCAGGCCACTAGCTAACTTACATCAGCACGTTCGTCTTGCAAACACTAAAGAGGCTAATCAGAGTGCATTTAAAAGCTTAATATATTTGCTGGGAATTCTGCCAACAGTTACTACCCTTAAAACCCTCGCGGAGATTTAGTTTCCCTAATTTGTTTTGAAATGGTTTAGTTTCCCTAATTTGTTTCAAATTAAGCACAATAGTCTGTTATTTGAATCAAGCCCGAGGCTTTGGTTCAGCAACAAATGTAGAACACTCAGGAGTCAGGATATGTAGAAAATTCGAAGCTATTAACTTATATTTTCAAAAGAAACATTAAAAGTTTGAATCTTTGCTGGTGAGCCAAATATGCAATTTAAGTAGAAAAGGGTTAAAGGTAACGGGCAGCCAATAGGCATTATCCACCATAATTTGAAATTGGAAAACAGCAAATTTCTTATTTAAAAGAAATAATGTTATTCCAATCAATCAATATAATTCAATTGATTCCACCTTAATCCAAAACTAGTCGAGATCAGCTATACAAAAACCTCCATATTCATTTCACTATATTCACGCCCATTTCATTACGAAATTGAACAAAACAAGATATTAAAAAAAAAAAGGCATATCAGAAAGGAGAGGAAGTGGATTGAAAGTCAAAAGGACCTGTTGAGAGAGGGAGTGGTGGGCGGTTTGGTAATCCTTGTGGAGAACGTAGAGACCAACGGCGGACGCCACCGCCGCACCGGCGAAAAACGATGCAAATCTCACCCTTAGCACGTATCCCATTTTTTACTGAATTGAGAATGTACACCAAAGCGAAGCTGTGTCCTTTTTTGGGTATTTAGGGAAGGAAGGGGAAGAATTGAAATTAGAAAGTTAAAAGATGTACCCAAATTCTTCTTCTTATTGTCTCGATTTATACCTTGTATGCACTAAACAATTAAAAAGTAATCCCCGTTCCACTTTATTTGATTTTTTAAACTGTTTTAATTAATAATAAAATAATAATATTAACCTTAATTTAATAATTAAAATATAACAAATACTCCTAGAATCTTTACTTCAAGACCAACTCTATAAAAACAAAGTTAATTCCTTTTTAATATATAAAAAATATTAAATATTGTGGCACTAAAAAAGAAGGTCAAAAAATCAATTAAAATGGACCGGAGGAAGTATTTATAAGATCATTGAGTAGATAATTACAGGTAAACTTTTAATAATATTTATTGCTCATTTGTTAAAAATGATGGTGTAAAATTATTTTTACACTATTATTGCATATGCAAAATTAGGTGACAAACATATCCAAAATACACAGAACTAAGAAATAAAAATAAAATACAAGTAAAAGTTGTGCATTAATGAATAGGTAATTTTCTTAAAGATCTTTTTGTTGGTTTTACCCCCTTTATTTTTCGTTAGCTTTTGGCTCTAAATTGTTAGTTTCATTTTTGTCTTTGACTATTCGATAGAAATAATGAAAAATATAAAATTTTGGATGTGGGCGTTCTGGCACAACAAAGGTTTTATCAAGTCCTATTAAGCACAACATTTCTCTCGGCGCACGTTAACGTGGCCTTGCTTACGTGCGCTTGGAAGCCATGGGAGGGAGAGGCAGACCTAAGCGAAATCAGACGAGGATACCAAACAATGACCAGCGATCAACGGAAACAAGGAATGCTGTACTAGAATTGTTTGTGTCACCAAAAGGGTTACGAATTAAAGAGCCAACTGGAAATTGCACTCCTAGGAACATGCAAAGTGAGCTGAGAAAAGCGGAAGCAGATCTATCACTGGAGAAAGGCAAATCGAAGGAAGTTGTTGCTACACCTGTAGCTGTACAAGCTGTAGGTGGTGGATCTGTGAACAAGGAAGTGCAAACACAAGGTATGAAGCAGATAAAAAATGGAACAGTACCATGCAGCTCAGGTACTGATGAAAGTGGTGAAAAAGTAGAAGCAGGGAAGGAGCAGATAGATCAATCATGGGCAAATGTGGTGGCAGGCAACAAATTGGCCATGAAAGGTATGAATTTACAGTTCATAGCTCCAATAGTTCAAAACGGAGAGAAAATAGCAAAGTTAGAAATCGAAGATGTTGAATTAGAAACTGAGAAATAGAGATCTGCTATTGTCCTATATGTGATTGGGGAAACGCCTACCATTGGAGCAATGGATAGATTCCTGAGCTCAATGGGCAAATTCTCAGTGAAACCACAGATCTACTACCACAATGAAGGATATTTTATGATAAGGTTTAGTAATTTAGAGGAGAGAGACCAGGTGTTATACTCTGGACCTCACACAATCAACAACAAGCCCATAATAATGAAGGCATGGTCAGAAGATTTCAATGTTCAAGATGAAGTCCTGAAAACTATTCCCTTATGGGTGAGATTCCCAAATCTACCCATAAATTGCTGGGGTATGAAAGCTTTAAGTAAGATAGGTAGTATATTGGGAAATCCGGTGTATGCAGATGAATGCACCACTGGCTCTGTTAGGATTTCTTATGCACGAATGCTGATTGAAATGGATATTGCGAAACCCCTACCTAGGTATGTGAAGCTACAGGACCATAAGGGGAGGATAATTCAGTCGGAAGTCACTTATGACTGGGAGCCAAAATACTGCACAAAATGTCTGAAAATAGGACATGATTGTGCTGAGACTAAAACAGCACAACCACAAAGGATGGTGCAGCAGAGGAAGGTAGTCAAAAACAAGCAAGTGTGGCTCAGAACTGATAGAGAAGCTGGTAATGAGAAAAAGGTGAATGAGCAACAGAAAGTAGCTGAGACTACTCAACAGCCAGAACCAGAATCAAAAAACAAAGATGCACAGGAAAAGGAAGAGGGGTGGATAACAGTCCTAGGAAAATCAGCAGCTAAGGCTAAACAAGTTGAGGAGCAGGAGCTACCAGGAAGCAATGGATTCCAAAGTTTGGCAAAGAATCAAACACATGATGAACCAGGTACAAGTAAAATGCAGCTGAGGAGCTCAGAGATGCAGGAGTTGGATCACCACCCCTATTTTATACCTGTATGAGTGTGGTAACTTGGAATGTTAGGGGGTTGAATAAAACTTATAAGCAAAAGGAGGTAAAGGAGTTTATAAAAGGGAATAATAAAGCAATTATAGCACTAGTAGAACATAGAGTAAAAGAGCACAAAACAAATGAGGTGATCAAGAAGATAGCACCTGGTTAGAAATGGATATCTAATGCTAGTGTAAACCATAAAAGCAGAATCTGGATAATTTGGGACCCCAGGATATATACATTTGAGCCAGTGGAAATAGAGGAGCAATTAATACATGGCCAAGTCAGAGTTATTTCAAAAGCAATCATGTTTGGATTTTCAGCAATATATGGACTACATACTATTAAAGATAGATTGAAGTTATGGTGTAAGATGAGGCAAATTCACAGCATTCAGCAGGGGCCTTGGCTAGCTATGGGAGACTATAATGCTGTATTACATCCTCAAGATAGACAGTATGGTTCAGAGGTACAAGAGATGGAAATAAAAGACTTTAAGGAGTATATGAGGGACACAGGGATGAATGAATTGCAATAAGTAGGAAGGAGCTATACATGAACTAACAACCATACATATAGCAGAATTGACAGGGGACTTGTAAATATAACTTGGATGATGACAATGCCAAATGTGAAAGTGCAGGTGTTTGAACCAATGGTGTCTGACCATTCACCACCGAAGCTAGTCTGACCAGACACTGAAAGTTTTTCAACCGTATTGCTGATCATCCTCAATTCATGCAGCACATTGAAGTAGCTTGGAAGGATAGGAGCACAAATGGAATTATGCAGGCAGTATGGAACAATCTTAAAGATATAAAGGAGATAATCAAAAATATAAACACACAGCACTACAAAGGGGTTGATGAAAGGATAAAAGAGATTAGGAGGGAATTGTAGGGAGTACAAGAGGAAATGAGCTCTAAACTACAGAATATAGAGCTGGTTGAGAAAGAGAAAGAATTGAAGTGTGAGTTAGAAAAATGGGGAAAGATAGAAGAAAGCATATACAAACAAAGGCCTAGAGTCCAATGGTTGAATCTGGGGGATTCTAACTCAGCCTATATTTTGCACAAATGAAGAATAGGAACCACTTGAATGAAATCCAAAGTCTAACAAATGATGTGGGAGCTCAACTAGTAATGGAGGATGATATAGAAGCAGAAATACTAGGGTACTATAAAGAACTACTGGGATCAAGAGCTGAAAGTATTCCAGCTATCAATCCAAATATTATGAAACTAGGTGCAACATTAAATGGAGAACAAGAGGTTCAGCTGATCAAGCCAGTCACCAAAGAGGAAGTATGGGAAGCCCTGAAGGACATCAGTGACCTCAAAGCACCTGGTTATGATGGGTTAAATGCTGTATTTTTTAAGAAGGCCTGGCAAATTGTCGGAGAGGATATAACAAAGGCTGTGTTGGAATTCTTTGAAACAACACATATGTACAGACCTATCAACTGCACAGCAATCACTTTAGTCCCTAAAGTCAGAAATCCTGTGAGTGTTAAAGAATACAGACCTATCTCATGCTGCACTGTTCTATACAAAGTGATCTCCAAGTTATTAACTAAGAGATTGCAAGGAGTTATGGATGCTTTAATTGACAACACTCAGTCAGCATTTATGCCTGGAAGAGTAATTACTGATAACATTATCCTAAGCCATGAACTAGTAAAAGGCTATGGAAGGAGAGGGGTCTCACCTAGATGCATGATGAAATTGGATATGCAGAAAGCTTATGATTCCATTGAATGGCCTTTCATGGAACAAGTGCTGAATGCTTTGGCTTTCCCAGACAAATTTGTGAGATGGATTCTGGCCTGCATGGAAACTGTTACCTATACAGTTGTGATAAATGGAAATTTGACAAAGCCCTTTGATGCTAAGAAGGGGTTGAGGCAAGGAGATCCAATGTTTCCATTCTTGTTTGTACTGGCAATGGAATACTTAACAAGAAGTCTAAAGACATTGAACCAGATTCCAGACTTCAACTACCACCCTAAGTGTGCCAAGATGAAAATATTGCAACTTGGGTTTGCTGATGATCTTTTATTGTTTTGCAGGGGTGATATAGGATCAGTTAAGCTACTGTTCCATTGCTTCATGGAGTTCTCAAAAGCTTCTGGTCTGGTGATTAACAAACACAAGAGCTCTATTTTCTTTGGAGGGGTATCACAAGCTGCTCAAGAGGAAATCCTAGAATTTCTAGGAATCCAGAAGGGAGAGTTGCCAGTAAGATATCTAGGTGCCCCATTAAGCTCAAAAAGAATATCCATAGTACAATGCCAGCCTCTAATTGACAGGATAGTGGGAAGAATAGCTTCATGGACTGCCAAATTTCTGTCCTATGCTGGCAGGATCCAACTGATAAAGAGTGTTCTATTCTCTATACAGACCTATTGGGCACAAATATTTGTGCTTCCTAAAAATATCACAAATCTAATTGAAGCAATGTGTAGAAGCTTTTTGTGGACAGGAGAAGGGAGTGTGTCTAAGAAGGCTCTATTGGCATGGGAGAAAGTCTGTCTACCCAAGTCTGCTGGAGGGTTCAACATTATGAATATAACCATCTGGAACAAGGCTGCTATTTGTAAACAATTCTGGAACCTATGCAAAGAAAAGAAGAAGTTGTGGATTCAGTGGATGCACAGCTACTACATCAAAGACAGACACATATGGGATGTTCAACTGAAACTAGCATCTTGGATGGTGAGCAAGATCATGAAAGCAAAGAAAACATTTGTAGAGGCAGGATTCAGCCATGAGGATATCATGAAGTTGAAGAACTGTTTGATTAAAAACATATACCACAGGCTGCGTGGAAGATTTGACAAAGTTAGTTTGAGAAGAG